TTTATGTGGAATTGTTTCAGCAAATCCAAGAATTTCCTAAATTGCTTATCTTCATGCCATTTTTTTAATCTTTATGGGAAATGAGGTTCAATTGGTTCATTCATTATCTTGTTCAGTGGAATGTATGATGGTGGAAGGGCTAGTTGGTCAATGTCTTTCGCTCTTGGTGCACTGTCAGGAGTTGTGATAGCTGGTATCGCTCCTTCAATGTCATTTTTTTGAAGTTCATCTTTCAATTATTGAGCAACATCTTCTGGCTCTGTTTTGGCTTCTTCCTCGCCTTTCCCTTTAGAGACTTCATTAGTTACAATAGGTTGGATTACTTGCTCCCCTCTGGTTTTAACTTCTTTTTTGCCTTCACTCATTTTTCCAGCTGTTTTTCTAGCTTTTGTTTATGGGGGTGTATCACTGGTTCAGGTTGCAGAATGATTTTTCCATCTTGCAAGTTTATGCCATTGCATTTCTCCTGGCCATCTTGGAATCGTTACCCTATATAACTAGGGAGTGCTCCTTGGGGTCTCTGACTGAGAGCTTTAGCCATCTGTCTCATTTGTGTCTCCAGGTTTCTCATGGCCACATTATTATGATTCATATATTCTTCTAACATAGTCTTCAGAGATTGATTTCTGCCCTCATTCTGATCTAGATTCTGTTTTTGCTGTTGTGGAAAATGGGGTTTGCTCTGGTAATTTCCTCCACTGCTCCTAACATTGTTCTAACTCCTCTATCCTTGATTATTGTACCCCTGGTACTAATTATTGCTCCTGTTGTTGTAATTTCCTGCATATTAAACAGTAGCTATTTCATTACCACATTCTCTAGGCTCATGGGGTCCATTACAAATAGAACAATTTTGAGCAAATTGAGTCAAATAAAGTTGTTCAGAATTATTTGTTGGTATAGATTGCTCAGGAGGTTTCCAATTTTTTATGGCGTTGTTAAGGGGCCATCTGTGCGGATAGAGAATTGGCTGCGTCCAACTCTATAATCCCTACTTTTTTGGGAGCACTCTTTCGCTCCTAAGGCCATTGAACATGCTTTTTGGACAACTTTCTAAGCAAACAAATAGTTCTATCATAATTGTAGTCCAAAAGATCTCCACCAGCAGTTGTATCAACAGTTGTCTTCAGTGGTGGTGTTAGGCCATGGTAAAAAGTGTGGATGGCTCCCCAATCTGATACCCCATGGTTGGGACATCTTCGCAACAAGTCCTTATACCGCTCCCAGGCTTCGTACAGACTTTCCCTATCAAACATATTGAAGGATGCTATATTTGCTCTTATTTGAGCTTGTATCATATGAGGAAAAATTCTTGCTATGAATTATTTTATGAGTTGCTCACAATTCATGATCGAAATTGGAGGTAAGGTTCTCAGCCATTCCTTACCTTTTCCTGCTATAGAGAAAGGAAACAATCTTATATGCATGTTTTCTTCAGGAATGCCTTGGGCTCTAAAATTATCAACCATTTCAGTGAAGTTCTCTAAATGACTATGAGGATATTCCATGGGTAATCCGTGGAATTACCCAGCATTCATAATCATCTGAAATAGGACAAGTTTTATTTCAAAGTTAGGAACATTCAATGACGGTGGTATGTATCCTTTGTTAGAACCATTTTAGAAGGGAGCAACCATATCATTCAAGGATTACCTTCTTTCTTCATTTGGTCCTCCTTTATTTCCCATTTTCACCATTATTTAAAACTTCAACCATTCTATCTCTCCTAAGTCTTTGGACTCTCCTCCTGTCTCTAAATGTTCTCTCAAGTTCTGGGTCAAATAACACTAATTCAAGTCCAAGTTCTTCGGGGTCAGTGTTCATAAAATGGTTATACAATAGGAGCAACAATACACAACAATAATCTAAAGATGCAAATATTGAAAAATGAAATTGGCACTTCGTTTAAAATGCCTCTTTTTCCTAAATGATCCCTGGCAACAACGTCAATTACTTGTTGGGCCAAAATTTCCTTAGGAAAATATGGAAGCAAAAGTGGTTCAGATCAACTATTCTTTCCAAAGAGCAATTAATCAATTGTACAATAAATCTACCCAAACTGCGCAAGCGCATCAAGTAATATAGGATTTCATATAAGCCCTAGATTATCGTCCTCTGGGAACTATTGAAATAAATGACGTTAAAAGAAGTGAAAAAAAGAATTCAAGAAAGACTAAATAAAGAGCAATCGTTCTTAGTCAGAATTCACCAAGGAGCACTATATATCAGTTAGTTAAACAAAGTTAACAAATCTGAATAGGGTAGTACTGGGTGTCCTCTTAACTTCACTGAACTCGAAGTAAGATAAATCAATAGAGATCAAAGTTGAAGCAAAAATTAATTAACAAGGAACTTAAAAGTAACAAAACCATCAAGAACTGGAGAAATCGAGTACTGTAACCAGAATTATCAAGAGCAATTGTAAGGATGTGATAGTATCAAGTAATAAGTGATGCATTGTTTTAAGAGGAAAAAACTCAATAGAAGAAACAATAGGTCTTGGGATCAGTTTTTTTGCCCCCTTGGTTGTTCCTATAACGCAGTATCTCAGAAACGAATTATGCTCATGTCACCTTTAGCGGCTTGAGTTAAATCCTAGGTAATTTGGAGCAAAAGGCCCTTTACATCAAATTATACTAAGAATTCCTAAAATTAAAAACTCAAGGAGATTATGTTACCTTATCATAAGAGTAAGGCTGAAGGAATCACTAGCAAAAGTGATGTATACATAACGGTGCTCCTCCTTCTGGGTATTCCCTTGACTCATAGCAAAATACCCTAAGATTTCTAATCTTGTTCTACACTGCTTTGTGAGGGTTTCATCGACCAAGTGGTCTTGAGATGAGATTACAAACCAAAGGGTGTTACAAAATCAGAGCATTAAACCAAGAAATAGCTCATAATTCATTAAATAAAACATAGTTCCATTACAAGTTCATCCTAAGACAAATAGGGGTACTTCAACTTCACCCTTAACCAACTTAAAAAATTAGCTAATAAAGAGCATGATAAAAACAAAAAAATTACATAGAAGGACTAAAATGGGACTCCACAAAGAAGACGATCTCTACAAAGGTATTTCCCTTTTGTAGTGATGAATGTTGACTCCTCTGGTCTATGATTTCAACCGCTCCTCAAATCTATGATTTGCGATATGGTACCTGCCAACTCAGCCCTCGAATCTACGGTTTACGATATTTCCTCAAATCCTCTCTAATCAGAGCACTGTTCCCTGCCAACTCAGCCTATTCTGATGTGGTCCCCCTCCTTTTACGATATTCTGTAGGGAATTTGCAGAGGTGAGGTGCTACTCTCATATTCTCTGCTGTTGTTGACGTAGAGGCGCTCGATTGACTGCTTTTTTGCTCCAGTACTGCTGCTTGATTTTCTGTCCCCTTTTGAATTTTTCTGCTTTTATTCTTCCAAGTTTCTCCCTTGTTGGATTAAGTTTTCTTTCAGTTGGTCCTTAGGTTTTATGTAGAGCACAATTCTACCCATTAAGCTCATGAAGAAATGATCAATTCAAAATGCTCCAATACTGCTCTAATTCCCACATCTAAGTGTTGCTCCAACCTACTTCATCAATAAAATGCTCCTGGGGATAAACTTGAAATAAAACAGTAATTATTCAGCAAAAAATTGAAGTTAAAAAGCACTCAAACAATTAATGAATCTCAATTTTTTAGGACCATTAGGCACCATCCACGATTTCTTTTAGCAATTTAGGGGGCGTTTGGTAAAGGTAGGTTTTTGTTGTAGATGGCCAGACAACTTTCACTGGTATTCTCTTTTAACCATGTTTGGTATAAGAGTAAAAATAAATATAACCAGGCAAATCCTTTGCCCAACACTTTGGTTTCTTTGCAAGATTTGAAGAAATTTACTCTTCCAAAAAATCACTTGTGATGTGGTATTTTAGGGTTTGCTAGGAAACGGAGAAAAAGAGCACGAAATGGAGACGAAAATGACCTGAGATGTAATATTGTCAATCAGTCTCTTTCCTTTATTTGAGATTCAAAAATTAAAGGGGTTACTTTTGTAATTTTAATCAATTTTACCATATATATTTTACCTTCAACCAAACATAGACTTAGAAAATTTAATTAATTTTTTCAGTAATATTTCGTTCTACCAAATAACTTTTTTTCAATTTTACCAACAAATTTACTTTGTCACCATTTTTCTACCTGATTAAAATAATTTTCTCTTCTACCAAATGGTCTCTGTACAAAGTTAAGACGGACAATCTTCACCAAAAAGAAAAAAGAAAAAGACAGACAATGTTTTAATTTTGGTGCAGATCAATAAAAACGGATGACGTTTTGTAAATTCAAAGGTTAGCATTAAAACAGGGAAGAAAATTATTGAACCAAAATAAAAGCCGACCCAAACTGAAAGGGACAAAAAAAAGGGTGTTATCCGGTTTATCCAGTGCTAAATTTGAGACCAAATTAAGCTCCCCAACTCTATCATCTCAAATCACTCCTTCCGTTCGCGGGTCTTATCGACAAAAAATATTTTAAATTTTTTTCTTCGAACCCAACCCTACCCCACCGTTGTCACTTTCCCCATTTGCTCCATTTCTACACTCTCATGTTATTGGCTCATGCTCCTCTGTCCCTCTCCACGCCCTTGACCCCTTTTACTTTTTCCCACCCACTACACACTGTCCCAGCCTGTGCAAATTCCCTCTCTCTCTTTCTTTCCTTGTTTGTTCTCAATGTTCTCTAAACTCAGCTTCGCTTTCAGTTCCATTGTCTCCTTCCACTACTAGATCTTTACAATCACCCTTATGTAACCGACATTTTGCTACTCGCTTCACCTTCCTCTTCGCTTTCCCCCCCCTCACGTAGATCCAAACTAGAACGCTTGATGTTTAGTTAAAAAAAATGCAGCATTCTCAGTTCCACTGACAAGCCTTTAGTTACTCAACTAGCTATTTTTATTTATATATTTATTTATTTTTGTTAACCTGAAAGTTTCGGAGAAGCTCCATTTAAATGGAGGTGGCTTCGGAGCAGTTAGGTGAAGACGTAACACCAGAAAAGCGCAAAATTCCGGAGAAGAAGAACTCGTCAGAAGATGCTAAAAGAGCTGCTCAAACAACCGCTGCAAACCCTGGCGGTTCCGTTTCTGTTAGAAAGAGAGTGGAATCTCGAAACGTTTCGGGTTCTGGTCTGGCTGCGACGAAGAGATCGAGTTCAATTGTCGGTTCTGCAAGTTCAGTTTCTGCATCCAGACGAAGCAGTACCGGAGGATTGCTCCAGAGGCCGTCAATCTCCGGCGGAGGAAGGAAAACCGGTGCTGACTCTGCTGCCGGCACTAAGAGCAGCGCTTCTTTGGCCACCGAACCTGCGCGGAGGTCTCTCCCGGAGCTCCGGCGTAGTTCGATAACTTCTGGGCGTGCCGGAGCTCCCGGGAGGCCGGCTGTGGCCTCGCCGGTGGGGCCGGGTTTGAGGACGCCGAGTGCTAATAAGGTAGAGGTTGCGAAGAAGCCGTTAAGTAAGCCGGCATTGTCGGCTGCTTCTTCTTCTTCTTCGTTGAGGAAGGTTGGTTCTCCGTCTGTGGATAGTAGCGGCGGCAGTGGCGGTTCTGCTAGGAAGACGGTTTCAAAGATTTCGTCGGCACGGTCGCCGTCTATCTCCAGCGGGCTGAGAGCGGGGTCTTTGTCGTCGTCACAGGATCGGAGTTCTGCTCTGTCTGGAAGGAGGAAAGGGGCGACTCCTGATAGCCGGGATTCAAGGTTTATTGTTCTTCCTCAGGTTGAGATTAAGGCCAATGATGATTTGGTAAGCTTAGTGATTATGGCAACACTTTTAATTTACCATTCGGAATCTCATTAGTGAATTATTGTTGATTCTCATGTGGTAGTGAAGCAGTTGCCGAAAAAGGGGGAATTATATATACATAGATGTATATGCTTTTGTCATTGGAAATATTTGGTGGTTGTTGGATGATTTTTTGGAATCTCAGTAGAGCAAGGGTTCCATTGTGGAGTTAACTTAGAAGCTTGCACTGTCAAACATGTTGAAAATTGACACTAACTCGGTTGCATATTTTATTAACTATTTAACAAATAATATCTGTTGATGTTTGACATATTGATGTGCTGTAGGTATCATAAAATGAACTCTCCCTGTTGCAATGTCTCACATATGTGAAGCTAAACATCTATTATTAGTGAGCTAATGTGATGGAATTTTCAGCCCCTTTTATTATCTAATTGTGATTCTTATTTATTTTTTAGAGATTGGATCTTAGGGGACACAGAGTTCGCAGTCTCAATGCCAGTGGATTAAATTTATCCTCAAACTTAGAGGTAAATGTATCTTCTGTTTAGCTTGTTATTTATTTTATACAACCTGTTCAAAAGTTTTTCTGGCAATTTTTTAATAAAGAGTAAACACCCTTTTTAGTCCCTGACAATATCTACGAAGTCCTTTTCAGTCCTTGGCAATAAAAAAGGACCAAATTGGTCCCTGAAAGTACAAGAAAAGGGCCACTCTACATATTTGGGAGTTGACATAAGGACTAACATGACCCTTTTTCTGTAATTTCAGGGACCGATTTGGTCCTTTTTTATTACCAAGGACTAAAAAGGACTTCGTAGATATTGACAGGGACTAAAAAGGGTGTTTACTCTTTAATAAATTTAATTCATGGCAGGCATACAATCTGTTTGCTACCATTTTGTTTTTCTCTTTATTTATTGTGTAAGTGTGATTTTGGGAAAGAAGATTGTTTGCTATGGTTGAGCTCATTCTGTAGTCTCTATTGAAAAGCAGTTGGGAAGATTGTTCATTTGCAAGAAGAACAATTGTGAATAAAGTGGACATCTTTCTTGGTGCTCCGTTTTGTATTACTCTTATTTTACTGAACGGTTATATTTGTTTAGGGCATACTATTTTCCTAAATGGTTCAAGACACATGGCTGGTTGGCCCCACTTTGAAATACTTTGACAAGTGAATTGATGTTGGTTTAGCTGCTTTTGCTTCTGTCAATTGCTTTAGGTTTTGTTCTTTAAGATTGTAAAATAATTTTTTTTTGTTTTGCCTTAGTTTATTCCAAGGACCGCATGGTGTAAAGGAGAGAATTTCAAGTTGTACTTTAATCTACTCTAGTTAGTTTGTGTTTTGAGTATTTTTATAGCATTTAACATATGATCCTTTTTGACAGTTTGTTTATCTCCGAGACAATCTTTTATCTACACTGGAAGGAGTTGAGATATTGACGAGAGTGAAGGTATTTTATATAATTACATTTGGGTGTTATGTTTGAATAATTTCAGGTACACTTACTAACTAATTGCAAAAATCTGTTTACCTTGTCAGGTTCTTGATTTGAGTTTTAATGATTTTAAGGGGCCAGGATTTGAGCCTCTTCAGAATTGCAAAGTACTGCAGGTATGTTGTCTTTATATATGTGTGTATGGGTGCGCGAATGCTTTTGTCTTATGGTTGTGATAACAATGTTAAAGAGTGTGAATACTTATTTATTAATAACAGTATGAAATCCTTCATTTTTATGCAGCAACTCTATCTTGCTGGAAATCAAATCACATCGTTGGCAAGTCTCCCGCAGCTTCCTAATTTGGAGGCAAGCTTTAAAATCCCAGTCTGCTTTCTGATATTTATTTCAGATATTATTATGGTCTTCAATTTCACTGTTCATTTTTTATTTTTGGTATTTGTTATGTTTCTTTTTTGCAGTTCCTCTCAGTAGCTCAAAATAAGTTGAAATCTCTCACGATGGCAAGTCAACCTCGACTCCAGGTGGTTTTGTTGTTTTGAGTTTTGACCATGTATTTTGTGTGTACAATTGAATGCTTTATTAGAAAAAGTAATTTGATGCAGGTCTTAGCTGCCAGCAAAAACAGAATTTCTACTCTTAAGGGTTTCCCATATTTACCAGTTCTGGAGGTTAGTATGAATTCATTTTTATTTGGTTGGCCTAATGTAAACAAGTGATCAGACATCGTTGTGCTTTTATCTTAGTAGACTCTCTCATGGATATAGTTATTCATTTTGTGTCGTTGTCTTATAAAATTTCCTAGTCATTGTGGGAGATGTCTATTTATCTCTTTAAAGCATATAGAGAAGTGTTATAGATTAGTGATTTTTAGACACTATATTCTTTAATTTATTTTTTTAGTTTGTGTTTTTCTGTTTTGATGAATTGCTGGTTTTATGAGAAAAGCACCAAGGAAATTATATATTTCATTTTTGTTCTTGAATACCCCCCCCACCCACATGAAAGCCCTCTTGGGTTTGGACGGTGGAAAAAACACATGCCCACCTTAGCTTGTGCTGAGATTCACTTTAATTGTTATGTCAGAAGTTTCAGGGATTGAACTTGTTGACCTAGCTCGATTATTGGCAGATGTTAGCCATTATATTAGTCAGCTTGTAGACATGATAGCCTTACATTCAATGTACACAATTTTGTTTTCACTATTGAAGTTTATTTTCAATATAGAATTAGAAATATACCTGTTATGCCAGGGGGAAATAAACTTGTGTATTCAGACTAAGGTTTCTTCTCTTTTTCTGCAGAACTGTTAAGCATTTGATTGAAGAGGTAGTAATAAAATTAAAAAGAAGAAATAATTGAATGTATAATAATGTGAATGCGGTATATAAAAGTTTAGTTTGTTTCTACTGTTCATTTCCATTGAACCAAAACCATTGTGATGATATATTTTAGGATTAACATTATGACTTTGGCTTAATTCATATATTTAGTTTTGCTGTAGGTTTCCTATAAACATTATTCACTTCATATTTATATGTGATAATCACTGAAAGGTCATGGGTTCGAATCCAGGAAACAGTCTCTTTGCAATTATGCAAGGGTAAGGCTGCGTACAAGGATTTCCTCCACCTCACACTCGCTAGTCGGGTTTAACGGGGAGTGGTTTTTAATCACATTATACTTTTGTTTATTTTACTTCTTCCTACGGAAATATACAGTCATAATTTGGTTTAATTACTTCATTGCTTCTTATATTCTTACCCGATTTTTAAATCAGCCCCTCCCGTGGCTTATATCTCTTAACACCTCCTTACTTTTTAGAAGTTTCTATTTGGAGTCTTACAATTACCAAAAGTTTCTAGTTGTGTTTGCATGACCGTTAGGCATCAATTAATTTAGTCATGTGATGCAGGTGATATTGTCCTCCTAAAGGCCAAAACTCAATTATATGACAGTTGGTCATGTTGGTGGTCCATTTAGAAACATTTGGTAATTGTGCAACCCAATTAGAAACTTCTAAATTATAGTTATTAATTTAAAAAGTAGATAAAACTATCAATAATGATTTAGTAATTAAACTTCAAAATTTCAATTAGCACTCAGAGACTCAAATTAGTGTAAAATTTACACATCCATAGGTGCGTACTTAAATGTAGACTGATTGCTGTTACTTTCAATGATTTTTTGTACTGTAGCATTTGCGAGTGGAGGAGAATCCTATACTTAAGATGCCTCATTCGGAAGCAGCCTCAATATTGCTAGTTGGGCCTACTTTAAAAAAATATAACGATAGAGGTATGAGTAGTAAAGTTATCCTTAGTCTTTGGCATCTTTAATTGTTGGCCGAACAGATAGTAAAATGCATCTTAAATCTAACTAAGGGTTTAGGTGTACCCATTGTATGGAAATTCTTCTAGTGATTTCTACCGGCATCTTTGAACTCTTATGTTATGTATTAAGATAGTTTATTGAATATAAAAAGTTCTTCAGATCTTTCACGTGAGGAAATGGCATTAGCAAAGCGTTATCCTGCCCATACGGCTTTGTGCATAAGAGATGGTTGGGAGTTTAGTCGCCCTGAGCACGCTGTAGAGTCAACTTTCCACTTTCTAGTAGAGAAATGGAAGGACCATATTCCTCCTGGGTTTTTCCTTGAAGAAGCCTCCATAGATAAACCTTTGGAAGAAGATGTGTGTTGCTGTCACTTCACAATTACTCGTGATGGTGCAGTGAGTACAGACCCTCCGTTAGTCTTGAAATATCAATGGTTTTGTGGTGATGTAACATTTTCAAATTTTGTTCCAATTCCAGATGCTACCGGTGAGGTAATGAGTTGATTATATGATTATCATGCTTCAAATTTTTTTATTATAGTTGTTCATATTATTTGTGTTCATGAGTATGTTTTCCAGATTTACTGGCCAAAGCATGATGACATTGGAAAAATTCTGAAAGTGGAATGTACTCCCACTCTGGGAGAAACAGACTATCCTTCAATATTTGCCATCTCTTCTCCTGTTTCACCAGGTAGGCTTGTCTTGTGTCCTTATAGATGAACAACTAAATTTTGAGATCTTAGTTAGACCGACAGGAAGAAGTAAACCCTCCTACTTTAGCATCAGAGAGATGTGGAAGTACGTGGTATCTACTAAGTGATGAATTATGGATTCCTTTTTTTATTCATATTCTTCATTTGCCGGTATGCTTTTATTGATATTTGAAAACGAAACTTGCTCATTCTCTTTATGTTATTGCCTGTGTTATTTTCCCAAATCTGCCTTAAAACATCCTTGCTGAGTTATTTTAAATGAATGAGGGAGTTAGAGGCAACCTTTTTTATTGTGTAAGTAGTAGGCATCGAGATGTATGAACATAACATCAAATAAGGGCCTGTTTGGTTTAAGGAAATGTTTTATGTTTTTATTTTCTGTTTTGACTAATAATTACAAAAATGCCACATTGTTTTCAGTTTCCTGCACAAGGAAACTGAGTGAAAGCAAGGCAGCATTTTGTTAGGCCTGTAATTAAGGTGAATGTAAGAAGAAATAAGGATGGACCTAAGGATCTAGATCTAGTTGGGTAGGCCTTGTTAGTAATGGTAATTAGAGTTAATTGATATTATTAAATATATTTGATATAGTTACCTGATATTAATTTATATTGTTAGATATAATAGATAATGTTACCTGATAGTTGATATTTTTAGATCATACTTGTCAGTTGTAGTTAGCGGTCGACCCCGAAAATGGTATAGCAGTGTAGCGGTATTGCCGTTACGGTGAAGTATTAATTCCACATATATTATATTAACAGTCTAATACTACACAAAGATAAATGCTCAAACATAAGAAGTTACACAAAATGAAACACATAATTCCACAATCAATGTCAAATACAAGGAACATAAAGGAAGGATCCAAAATTAAACACAAATGAACAATGAATTCAACAAAATCAAACATATCATTCCACAATCAATGTCAAATAGCGGGTAGCGTCGCGTTGCACACCTGTATACGCTGCCACTGGCTAGTGTCGCTTCGCGTCGCGGTTGTAATTGTAACACCTCTAAATTCTAACAATTTTTACAACAATAAAACATTCCTTATTTAATTATTTATTAAGATCTTATATCTATTGCGGAAGCTAATCTAAATCTAATTTGGGGAAATTTACCGCAGCACCTGTACATGGACAAGTGCAAGGCTCTTTATTACTTTCATAAATATTTCAATAAAATCAGAGATGTCTTATACATAAAATTTAGGATTGGCAAAAAAAATCTCTGAGTAGTTATCCTCACAGCCCACTGCTAGCCCGATTCCTTGCAACTTGATTTACTGAAAATCTGCTCCCCATGAAGGATCATTGCAGTCGAACAAACACAAACAGTCTGCAAAGCTGGTAATCCCAATCAAGATACAAAACTAGGATAATATAACCCAATATCAATCAAGACATTTATTTAAGAATAATCAACATAATCAACTCAATTAATATTCCAAATATGTCATTTATTCATAACTCAAGCAATATTCAAATATGTCATTTAATCATAATCAAGTAATAATTCAAATAAGGAATTTAATCATAACTCAAGCAATAATTCAAATAAGTCATTTAATCATAACTTAAATCAAGTATTAATATCATTATTAATCATGTTTAAGATTATTTAGTCCATTTAGTGGAAGAGAACCATGGTAGACCCGGAGATTCTGCCAGTCTACCCTGTGACCCGGATATCCTGCCAGTCACAAATCAATAATTTGGCCATTATCAAAAACATCTCTTCCTAGTGTCCCGGATATCCTGTCAGACACCTCTTCCCAAAGTTGCTACTAGTATCCCGGATATCCTGCCAGATACCACTTTGAGAAGAACGAATATTCTCTTTTCACATCACATAATTATCAGAGGCATAAAAGCCCAGTTGTGTTCATCACTTTGGGAGGTACCATCCCAAAGCTATCCTCCCACTAATTAATTAATTACACACAATTAATTCAATCTTGTCACGATTCTCATAATTGTCAAATAATTTTCATGATTTCCACATCAATTAATCAAGAGTATAATTTCCAAATTCAATTTTTCAAGAATATCATAATTTCCAAATCCATCATAATTTTCAAATCCATTATCCAAAATCCAATAATTAATCCAATTAATTTCTAGAGGTTAAAATAATTTAATTTAAATACCCTAAGGTTACATATAATATATAAAAACATCCTAAAATTTCCTAAGGATTAAGATTACATTCAACAAATTTAATATAAAATTATCTTACATTCACCTAGAGCATTACGTATACCAAATTTCATTTAAAACTAATTTAATATGCCCTAAGGATCAATATTACATTAGACAAATTTTCTTATAAAAGTTAGGGCCCGTTTGGATGAGCATTTTTTTCTTCAAAAGTTGCTTTTTTTTTTAAAAAAAGCACTTCTCGTTTTTAGTTCGTTTGGATGTCTGCTTTTAAAAAAAGGAGAAGTCACAAAAAAAGTCAAAAACCTACTTTTTTTCAGAAGCTAAAATTTTTAACTTCTAAGCCAAATATTTTTTTCAAAAACAATATTTTTATAAAAATATAAATAGCTTTAACTTTTGTAAAAAGTACTTTTAAAATAAGGAAGTGATAAAAGTTACTTTTTTTTAAAGTTGAAACAAACGACCTCTTAATCTATTATTTCTAAAGCATTAGGATTATACCCAACAAATTTCATATACAACAAATCTACAACCACCTAGAGATTAGGATTACCTGGTCTCCATTTTTTGCTAACTTCTAGAAGAGAATAATTTGGGGCAGAGAACCGGTTGGTAACCAAAATAAAATAAATAAAATAAACTTTTGAAGTAAGAAGAGAGAGAGTAGTAGAGGAGAAATGTTGAAGAGTGAATTGGTTTGGTTAGGCTAAGGCTCTATTTATAGTTGAAGTTTTTGGGGCTCGAATATAGGTTTTATGCAATTATTTCCTTATTCTTTATTGATGTATCTGGCTCAGATATTGGCTTCATACACTATTTTATTCTTAATTTCTTATGGCTCAGAATACAACTAACTTATTTGCTAACTCAAGGCTGACTCATGATTGACTCATCATATCTAATCAAATTACTAATCAAACATTACCAATCAAACATTAATGCATAAATCATCAATCATAATTTATCATCTAATATATATATATTAATATTATTTTATTATTAATAACCTAGAGTATTACAAAGTATCAAAATCAATTTTCAATAGCACTCATATTGCACATAATAATTTTATCAAAGATAAAATTTATATTATAATTTGTTATTAATCACCATCAAATATAAATATTAATATAATATATATATATATATTTTATTACTACGAATTTATAGTTTATTATAATTATTATTAATTTATTATCATTATAAATTACTATTATTTTTCTGGGATATATTACAGTAATGGTCGGCCGTCGCTACTTGTTACTATAGCGGTTTAGCGGCGCTACGGGCCACTACTGACAACCTAATTTTAGATGTAGATATGGTTACTTGTTATTAATTGATATGCTTAGATGTAGTAGATAAAGTTACTTGATTTTTAGGAGATATTAATAGATTCAACAGTTAAGATTTCAAGATTTGGGATGCTATTCATCTAGGTTATCAGTAGGATAAAAGGTAATAGAGGGCGGAGAGGGAGGCACAATGAGATTAAAATTGAGTTACGGGGAGAGACCAAGCTCTTGAAATCCTGGATATCAGTATTCTATTTTCCTCTGTTTTCTCCATAAATCTCTAAAATTTTGTCAACTGGTATTAGAGCTCTCAAATCTAGAAGTTCTTTTATAGTCTCTACACAAAGATGGAGGCAAGAGTAGATTCACTGGTGTGTAGAACTGATGGAGGAAGAATGAGAGAAGAGTGAACATACTTTAGAAAAGAGAAGGGGGTCCAAGAAGCCCACTTCCTAAGGATTGATGAACTGCATGAATAACTATCACAAAGATCCATGGGGTAAAGGCAATGGGCAAACTCATCAGGAGCGAGCTGCTCGATGAAAGTTCAAGAATAGAAAGAAAGGATGAAAGATTGAGGAAGCTCAAAATTCGTGTTTTTAGTGGTGGGTTAACTGTGTGGAATGGTACTTTGAGTTGAAAGGGGTGTTAGAAGAAGAAAGATTGCAAGCAGTAATGGTAGCCATAGAAGGGAAGGTGCTTTCTTGGTTCCAATTGTGGGAGTTAGCGGCAACAAACCCTTCTTGGGTAGATTGTAGAGGAGTTGTGTTCCGTAGGTTCTAGCCATCAATGTCACAAATTCCATATGAAGTCCTTTTGGGTAATAGTTTAAATAAACATTTGTATTGTTTAGTTTGATTTATTTGTCCTCCTTCTTGTCCTACTACTTCTGTTATACCTCTTGCTCCTTCTTTATCTACTTCCTTTCCTACGCCTCTTTCTTCTTCAAATTCCCAATCCTCCCTGATAATAGTCCTCGCAATCCTCCTACCACTTAGACTTCAAATCAGTCATAAGTTCCTTCTCAAGCTTCTTCTCCTATTCTTCATAATATTGTTCTTAGCAGTAACTCCCCAAATGTCTCAGCCTCCTCCCCGTCTTTGAGTCCTCCTCACTCTAACTTTCTATCTCTCTTTTCTACTTTCTCACACTTTCCCACTTTTTCTCTGATGGTATTAGAGCTTTCTTTCTGAGGGCTTGATCCATCTTGTCCATCTATGTATTTTGCTATAACACCTTTTGTGATGGAGAACAAGACATCGTCGCTCTTTGAGCATCAGATCTCAGTGAAGCTTACAGTTTTGAAAATCTCATGATGTGCATCGCTTTCTTGTCAATCCTAGGTTTCCACCACGATTTGTGTTCGAGGAGGATCATGTTAATCAACAAGTCAATTCTGCATATTCAGAATGGGAACGACAAGATCAATCACTTATCTCCTGCTTCAAATGACACTCTCAGAACAAATCGTTCATAAAATCCTTGGAGTAGTTCACTCATACAAAGCATGGGAGA